TTTTTTGAGAGGTGGCTAAGTTTAGTCGGTAAAATAAAATAATATATGGAACCACAGCTTCGGATCAGTAGGAGTAAACTCCATTCTCATGTTTACACGGTTCATCTTAAGTTTAGACTCACAAAATTGTGGTGGCTGTTCTTCCACTTGCAATCTTGGTGATGCCGCGCTCATTCAAGCTGTTGCTACTATACTCTGTGACCTGTTTTCTATTCCTGAATTAGACAAAGATATAGAGTATGGACTTCTCGATCGTATCTTTATCTCTTTTCACTCAACGATATAATGAGAGAGAGAATGAGAGGCAGATTGGCTGTCTTCCACGATCCCTTTCTCTCATTTTTGTCGCCCATACTACTTAGATCGAGCAGTACTCTATGTCTTTGGAACTAAACTGCTCTAGAACTCTAATTCTTTCTCACTTTCGACAAATATCAAACGTATATCTATTTCACTTTAAGTTCTAAAAACATAAGTTCAGCCACAGAGAAAACAGACCTCTAGGAATTTCTCCTGCAGATCCTCGAGTAATTGCTGCTTGTCCAGGTCGGCGCTATTTTTGCTATTCATCTCTTGATATTCTGATTCTAGCATATCTTCCTCACAATCTTGCACTATCGGCTTATTTAATAGTACACTAAATTTCGAATTTAACACTCTAAGTGTAGTATTTAACACTCTAAGTTTAACACTCTGACTTCGTCACCGCGAATAATAAAATAAAATTAAATTAAAAGTAAAAATACTCATCAACTCGTGTACACGTCGGGATGATCACTTTAGAAGGCTAAATTTTTTTTTGGTAAAATAAAATAATTACCATCTCAGTAATAAGTTAATTCGATATCGATTTATTATACAGCTGTTATTATAACAATGTATACTCGGAGCGCGTTTGGCCGTGTCTCGAAGTCGATTCTTATTCTTCGCATCTCTTTAGCAACTTCTTTGTATCCAAAATATTATTTGTATATGTTTATTAATTCGCCGCTATGATATGTTTATTATTCGTATATGTTTATCATTTATCGCTATTATGTTTAAATTTTAATAATTCAGTTACATCCGCGGAGACTGATTAAACGGCAAATTACAAGTTACAAATTAATTAAAGTACAAAAGTTACATTACTGCAATCTGATTAGACTCTGCTTTAATACGCGACCAATGTAAAGAAAGCTCAAAACTGTTGAAAAAAATTTAACGAGTTTAAAGAGCTATTGTCTTTGTTCTCGCAACCGACGATTCGTGTATCTAATTAAATATCTAACTAAATACGTGTATGTTCGTCAATTGATATGTATATGTGTGTGCTTATGCTTTTGTTTTGCACCGACGAATTCCGCGAAGATAGATACTTTTGTGACAATGCGATTGCCATATTTTATATTTAAAAAAACTTTTTAAAACCCTAGCATTTGCCATATATTTTTAAGGGATATACTTATGAATGGAAAGTACGACTTATAAAAAGTTTGCAAATAATGCTTGTGTATATATATATATATATTGGATGGTATCATCGTGAATGTATTAATCGGATATCCGCTGAATCCAATTTGTATGATTTATATTATGTATATATCATTTATGTATGTATAGTGTAGTTAATAGTTTCCCTATTTACGAGAGTATTTGTGAAAAATACATTGCATGCAAATTTAAGAAAAATTGAATTTGTTTTTTTTTGACAACGATTCCAGATTTATTCTGTAGCTTCTCACAGAAATATTAAAATTTCCATGTGTCTTTTATATCGCGTTGATAACACACTATTTAAGAAAAAAATAACTTTCTTCGAGCACAAGAAGAAGAGTAATCATTTTCTGTTTTAGTTTCTTGAGTGTTGTGAATCCGACTCCATTTACCATATTGCTCTTTTATGTTACAAAGGTAAAAATAAAATGTAAAACGAGCATCAATAAAACGTTACTTTGAGAATAAATCTAATGTAAAGGGAGAGTAGATAAAAAGTGTAAGCAAAATCTGTAAAAGACAAAAATAGAGATAACGAACGTAAAGAAGAGACATCACAAAATGTTGGAAAAGTGTTAAAAGTATGGAGAATCCTTCGGTAAGAGAACTATTTTGTCGAATGTAAACGGAGCGTTGTCAAACTTTTTGTCAAGTAAACACGAACGGAATGTCATCGAACTTTTTGTTAAACTCTCAAAACTTGATATATTCTCAAAATATTTAAAAAATATATTTTATTTATTTTCACATCTTGGAGTTATTCGGTCGTTTTAAAAAAATCATTTCATTAAAACATGGATAAGAAATTTTATATGTTGTTCTTTTTATTCTATCCTGTATGGCTTTTATTTACGAGAAATATAGAATGATCGCCGCGTTCATCTTGTGGGACTATACGTATTGTTTTTGGAGAGATTTTTGTGAAGTTTTTTGTCCCTTTGTTTGGACGTAAAAAAAATCAATTATTGAAAAGTTTAACTTTAATTATTGGAAACCCACCATTATGTAACCAAACGTTTCATACATGTAGAGAAAAGAAACCAAGTTTTTTATTAACAATTGATTAAATCTAATGAAAGAGTTGTTGCCATAGAGATATATACGATCATTGCGACAATTTAAATAATCTCGAATTTTTTATGAAGTATTTCTTTTTTTTGAATTAGAAAATTATCCTGAAAATTATCCTGTATAATATAATTCTTATTTCGCTCAATAGATATTTATAGACCGTCACATCCATTGAACTTCCTTTCTTTACGTGAAAAGGGAGCACAGTCCTCGAGGCGATATTTTGTTACACACGAATGACGTTGCATAAGCAGAAGTAAATGCATGCCATAGGTTGTACGAGTATAAATATATCGTTACAATGAAATCCTTATTACGTATGCCACGATAGTCCTGCAATTTCTCGTGATTTAAAGATATATCTTGAAAGCTCTTACTTTGTTTTGTTACTCTCTTGTTGTTCTCTGGCGAAAAGCCATTCAATTTGATCAAACGCGAACAATTTAAAGAAATTTAACAGCGTAAGATAAAAAATTCTATTTGATGCCTGAATCATTGAATTTTATATTTTTGCATACTGAAGGACTCTAATTTCATTTATATTTTAGATTTATTTATATTTAGATTATTTATTATATTTCATTTATATTTTAGATTCATATATAATTTCGATAAAGTGCAAAATTAATATAGGAAAAAACCGAGTAGTACCAAACGCCTGAAACATTATTTTTATCTCAAATATTTTTTTATTCATATTTTTCTAAAAATTAAAATAATTAAGATTTTTATATTTTTAAATGTCGTTATATTTTATTTTTATAAATTGGAGGATAGTATTGGATAGAAATATTTTTGAAAATATCTTTATTAATTATAAATTTTGAATTATAATACATTTATTTTTTTATTTTGGATATATAAACTTTATATTTATAAAAGAAACCAAGTCCTTCAAAGTTGATAAAATTTTCATGAACTCAACCTTCCCATTCATTGCATTAAATCTAGTTTTCATTTAAATTTTTTCTGCAAATGATGCAATTAGTCTTTTCATTGCCTTGTTTCATTGCATTGTTTTCTTTAAAAACTGAGGCTTTTTTACAGCACTCGCTGATATTTGATTTTTTATCCTTATTTGTATCCCTATCTAAAGATTCTCTTATACCATTTGTTACATCGTTATTTTATCCAAATAATACACAACAAAAAACAACATATGATACGAGCAGCTTTAAAAAAGAATTTTAAGTCCATAACTAAAAGAATAATAGATACTGTTTATATTGATAAACTAGAAACAATATTCGAGTTTAATAATATGACTAGTTGGTGCAGTCAATTCCGTCCCGTGTAGTGAAAATAGCAGTTACAACAAAATGTACACAATACCTTACAAATAACATTGCTTCTATTCTCCATGTGAAGAGATCCCAGCTCTCACATGGTGGACTTAATAAATATTTTGAACAATAATATTTTTGAGGCTTCCACGGGCACTTTCTATACAGAAATTATGCGTTTCGCGGGTTATCTACGTCCAAATCAATTCTTAGAATGCCAACGTTTCATGAACATTGCAGTTTACTTCATCAGAGAAGCGACCTAATATTTTGCCTGATATTTTAAATAATCTTTATCTTATACCAACTATTCAATATAATTCTTCCCTTATAAATTAATTGCAATATTGAGTAATAAATAATACCAGAAAATGATATGAAAAATATATGAATAAAGTAAAGTATTATATAATATACGGCAACGTTTTTACGATTATTAGATTTGAATTATCAATATAATAGCAATAATATAATTTTTCCTTAAAAAAAATGTTATGGTCAGCAATTTGTCAGAAACATTTGTCAGAATAATTATTTTTAATTTTTTCATAACTGATTGATATTATATTTAAAACTTTCTTAATGATCCATCATTACAGCTTATGTCATTAAAAGCAAAAAGGAAAGAAATCTTTTCTCATGATATAAGAGTAAATCGAGTCTAGAGTTAATTTGAAGACATAATGTCTTGAGAGCAGTTATATACTTTCTGATAAAAATCTCGAAAGAAGCAAGCGATAGGGGTAGTAATACGGGATTGGTAAACGGCTGGACCAATGATGGGAGGCTGCGCTGTGGTTCGAGTTGTCGCAGAATATATTTCACAAGTACGAAACAGTCGGCACGCGTCTCTTGAAACGTTCGGGTATCTTCTTATCTTTGAGAACTCGCGAGAGAACCCTTATTCCGATCGAAACAGTTATTACATGACGTTTTGCCTGATCTCTCGATCGCTCCTATAATTTTCAAGTTCGGATTCTAATCGTAATTGAAATCACATTTGCATTTTTTGGAATTAACTCATCTTTGGCATAAATAACATAATTTTCAATAGAATTTGATATAGTACGTATTTTAAATTAATTTTGTCAAAAAATAGTGTTAACTTTTGAATAACTTCAACCTTTTTACTAAAGAAATTAAAATTGGATTAAAAATTATTTCTTTAAATTATCATTCTATACATTTTATGTTACGACATTAATGTAAGTTCAAAAATTTGTCCATATTGTTCAAAGAATGAAAGAGAGTTTAGCGAGGCTGATTAATCTAAGTTTGAACTATTAACGGTGAAACGAACGGAAAAAGAGATACTGGTAAGATTTTTAATATTATGCATTATGATTGAATTATGGTTAATTAAATCATGATAAAATAAACCCAAAAAATTAATAACGTGATTATGTCATTTAATCATTAATTATTTTAAACTATAATTATGATTTAATAATTGTTATTTTTTTATCGATTACGCGGACTTTTTATATATGGATAAATAAGAAATTTTTATTAAGAAATGTCCAACACAATATTGTTTATTAAATATTATATATTATTCTTTTTGGTTTATTTTAATGTTATATATTTTTTTCTACATTGACAATAATATTAGTTTACAAATTTTGGTAATAATTTTTAGTGTAAGAAAGGGAAAGTTTTTTAAACATATTTTGGAGCGCTGAGAGTTTGAATCTGACATTTAAAAAAATTCCACTACATAGATTTTTAACATATAGCACTCAATCAATTTTAAAATTTAGCATATAGATTTTTAAGATATAGTATTCCTTTCCGAATAATGTGAGTGCAATTAGTGATGAATAAGGTGAACGTTTCCATCAAGATTTTAAATAATTGAGAACCGTTATTAAGGATATTGAGACAAATCAAAACGTACTAGATGATTAAGGGCTGTTCTAAACAAAATGTATAAATATAGTATAATATAGCGTCTAGATTAATAAACATCCAGAATAAACTCGCCACATTGATTTACGTAATATGCTTATTGGTCCAGACTATGCTATGCTATGCATTTTGTACGTGCTATGTTATGCATTCTGTGACAATTTTAATACGTGAAACCTCTCCAAAGTCATAAAGAATAAAAATTAAACTTTAATATTTCAGATTTGTTTTCTAATTTTAATAAAACTTTACTTTATATATTGGAAAACATGTCTTTTCTTATATCTCAGAAATCGAACTTGATGGAAACATTTCGATAGCTATTGATTCGGATTTAATGTCGAAAATTATTCTAAAAACAGTCTTTATATTATGCTTATATTAAACTCATCTACGTGAAAACTAAGAATTACATAAAACAAGATTTTTGAAGCTATTAATAAGTATATATCGAATAATTACCTAGACTGTAGAAACTATTACAATTATGTTAATATAACTATCCACAATTTAAACATATTATTAAATGAAGTATGTATATCTATAACTAATATGTTGCTTCTGTAATACGTTTTTTTAAATAGGTTAAAGTATTATTATTTACGAATATTATATTTTTTATTATATTTATTAACGAAAAGGAGTTTAAGTTACAATAGATATATGTAGAATTTTTTATGCTAATAATAATTGAATATGCAATAGTTTGGCTATCGGCTTTATACGGATGTTAAATAAACAGGATTACGAATAATATTTGTAAAGTGATGAACTTGTTGATTGATATTCTGATTGACTTGACTAAATAAATATGATACAAATTGATTTCATATGTGCATTTTTATGTAGAAAGCATAATCTAATGCTATATATTTTGTTTTAGCTATTCATCTATTTATGTGTATCACATTATATTTGATAATGTTATATTGTAAAGTCGATTGCAGATCATATAATCAATATACGTCAACAGTAGTGAGAATGATGCATTTTTCTGGCATTAATATAATTACTTTGTATATGTATTAGGTGTTGGAATTAATTCGTAGCGTTTTACAAGTGATGGGAAGTACTTTCATTAATGTATTTTTTAATGCTCATGTGAAATAAATAACATTCTTTCATTAAAAACGCTACGAATTAATTCCAACACCTAATATAATATTTTATATATATATATAGAAAGACAGAGAGAGAGAGAGAGAGAGAATAGCCAATATTGTTATTAAGGTTGAAATAATATTGATCATATAAATATACAATAATATAATATAATTGATACGTATATATATATCCACATTGATCAATTTTTATTATAAAATAAAATTTTCTAATTTTTCACAGTTTATGGAGACTCTTTTTTCATTTGAATAAACGATCATATACTAAAATATTCTGATCCTAAAATATATAGTCCTATTTTAGCGGTCTTAGCCTGCTCACAATCGATTGTTCCATTTCAATGAGAAATCTCGAATGTGAATTTTGTGTAAAATGAACGTGAATTTTGTTCATTCAAATTGTAATTAGATACAATTTCACTGAATTTTTTAAGTAAAAAGCCAATAGATTATACAAATTTAAACAACGACAAAATTTAACTAAAATCATCAGAATTATAAATTAGTCGCGGAATCTTAATATATATTTACTAATTAATTTTTTTCAAAAATTTTGTAGCAATAGTAATATTTAATGATACATTTTACATATATATTTATTATTATTTTATGTTAAAAGATGTTTTATATAAATAATATGTTATTATTAATTGTAAGTATGTGTTAATCTTATTAATTTAATTTTACACAGTTTTGTAGAAATTTCATATTAAATTATGTTTATGAGTTTAGACAACAGAAAATGTAATTTATGATAAGTATAAACTTTTAAATCTATATGTTTATGTACTAATTGACTGACTATACAGTGTGGGTTATTCTAGGAGCTTATTTTTTTCTTGAAGTAATAAAATTACCATTTTTTTTAAACAGTCCCTAAATTTTTTAAATTGCTACATCAGAAAACGTGTTGATTCTTAGCTTGACCTCTTTCACGTGAAAGCTTAATAAGACCATGAATATCGGCACGAATTGACTCTTTTATGTTCAACATGAAAAATAAATTTAGTACCTTAAAAAAATACATTAATAATCGTTATTTCTGGTATAAAATACAAATAAAAAAAAACACTCAATTTTGGAATCAAATTTCATTAAATACTTAGCTATTAGATTAAACACAGCAAACATTCACAATATTATTATCAAATATTATCGTTATTATAAAAAGTAATAATAAAAGTATATAACGGCATTACTTCTATTCCCTGTTTCTACATAATATATATATTACAATATATAAGATTTATGCGTCTATAATTTTTAATACTATTATTATAAGTTGAATATTTAATTAAAACAATTAATTTTATGGATAATAAAGGTAATAAACGTCAATACAGAAACTGGAGAGAATCATAGATTTAGCATAGTATATATTGCTTCAGTTGAATATTATATTATATTTTGTTTTTTTTTTTATTTAAAAGAGTATATATGTATTGATAATATTCTTATCATCTCGTTTTAACGCTGAGTTCATTCTGCATTTTTTACATGAATAAGATGAATGAAGCAATTTTTTGCACTTCTATAATTGTTCAAAAGAAATGTGATATGAATCCAAACTATAGGAAACGTATTCTTTCCGTAACAAAAAGAGAATGTAATTCACAATTTACTTCAGAATCTTTCTCATTTATTTAAAAAGAAAGCGGAAGCTCTTTATGCTCTAAGTAGAAGGAAAAGAAAACAGGAAATAGGAGAGCTTATTTACAGGGCGCTGCACACTTCTGTTGACTGCGTGGCAAACACTGGAACAAAAGCGTAGAGACACCGAGCAAAAAATGGGAATCCTGTTAAAAAAAAAATGGACAGCTTAAATGTCAACGGCAATAACACTCGTGAATTTTGTAATAATCAATACAAACATTTCGTGGCGCCCTACGGAGGTATGCTCCTTAATGATTTTGTCATTTTTCGCGTTTATATTCACATTTAAAGCAAGTAGAGAGAGAGAATATATTTTTCATTTGTCACTATATTTATCTTTTCAAGTGTTCTTTCACTAAAACATTTTCACTGATTTATTTTCGTATGCACATAAATAAAGAAAATTGTTTATAAGAAACAAATTATCTTATTAATTATTTTAATCAAATTTAGAATTATAACCAATACATTTCTCGCAAATCGGAATAATTTCATAAAACTTTAATAAGTTGAATTTACATGATGCATGATAGAACATTTTGCAAAATGTTCTTTCATACATATGAATTTAACTAAATTCTTAAAAAATTACTCGATATGAAGATTGCGTATAAGACATAATTTTTTATAAAATAAAAGTAATCTAGACTTTCGATAAATTCGATATAAAAGTGAAATGGTTTAATGGAAGTCGGCGCAGTAGATAATGCTCATTTTACTTTTATATCATAAATTTTTGTTATTGTTTTACCAAAAAATTTTTATATAATTTTTTAAAATTTCATAAATTTTAGAATTCATTCGATTTTTTGAGATTTCTATTTTCTAGAAAATAACAAAAATTATTATACCAATTGAGACACTTTTCAAAAATGTTGAGGAAGTCTTTTTTTTAATTTTTCTGTATAAATTTTGAAATATTCTAATATATTTTATTTTATAATTTCTGAAAAGAAAGAGAAAATATAATGTATGAAATCTGAAGAAGAGTCAGATATTTTCCAGCAATTTTTATAAATTTAAAATATGAAGAATTTTTATAAAAATGTTATGAGATATTATAAGATTTTTTTCATCAGAATAATTATAACAAAAAATGAGTTAATAGATAAACAGTGCAATATTCTTTATCAAAAATTGTTGAGAAACATTTTTTAAATATTATTTGATTGAACATATTTTATAAAATTCATTGCTTTTTTAAAACCTAATTTGTTAGAAATTCTTTCTGTGAGATCTATTTGCTGATTTATACATGTAAAATTAGTTGCAGTATTATCGACTCCTTTGCGCTGCTCTTTTTATATTTTTTAGAGCTCTGGTGTAATCCGGTATGGGACTCATTACTCTGTTGGCCGCCAACGATAGCCTCTATTACGGCAAAGCAGCGATGCCCCTTCGTGGATGGATTTGATACGACTAGTAAGTAAATGAAGCTTGATTTCAATGTTGATTTCAATCTTCCTAATAATTTAACATTGACATTGTTTGAGTTGACAATGGATTGTGAATAGCTATATGTAGATATTCCTTTATTGTGATTTTAATGTCCGTTAAATGAGTTTCTGTCATTTTTCAAGTTATTAGTATAATAAAAGAAATTGTTAAAATCGAATAAAAATTTCTGTAATTAGCGAATTTTAAAGATGAATTAATCAGAGATATATTTAGATCGTAATTTCTAAATTTCACTTTTTTTTTTAGAAGAAGAGAAAAATGGATATTAGTATAAAAAACTTAATATTTGGAATATAAAATAGATTCTGATTTGAACTCTTTTTTCCTTTTTGCCCTTTATTCGATTTCTATGTATTTATTGAAATTGATTTCTCAGCGAGTAAAAATATGTGAAAAATATTTTTAAAAATCTTTTTCCTTGCACACATGTTTTGTGAAAATAGATATTAGAAAAACTGACGTATATTTTAGTAATATAATATAAAGCTGAAAATATTTCTGATGTTTCAATCCTTTTTAATTTTTATTATTTTTCACTTTTTTACCTTTCACATTTCTACGCATTTATTAAAATGCACTTATAAAACTAATATAAAACTATTTTTTTTGGGTCATAAGATCAGTCTTTTACAAACATGAAAAGTATTCATATAAATCTTTTTGCTTGTACACATATTTTGTTAAAATTATTCGAAAAATAAATGTGAAAAAATTATTACTTTTGTTTTAAAAAGTTATTAGAAAATAAAATTTTATTGATATTAGAAAAATGATGTATATTTTAGTAATATAATATAAAGCTGAAAATATTTCTAATGTTTCAATCCTTTTTAATTTTTATTATTTTTCATTTTTTTTACCTTTCATGTTTCTACACATTTATTAACATTTTAATTGTGCATTTTTAAAACAATGTGTAAATTGTAAAATAAAGAATTATTTAATCTGGACACAATAAAAAGTAAATAAGTAAATATGAGACAAAATTTTATCTTTAATTATGTGCGTGATTTTTTAAATATTTTCTAATTATTTTATTAATTGGAGATTAATTTCTTATAAAAAACATACATTTTTTTTATATTATTTGATTATTTATATGTTAAAAATTAATTTTTTACACATTTAAAAATTTATATATATATATATTATTTTTCCATACCAAATATCAGATATTAATATTGGATATTATCAGTGGATGTTAATTAAAAAGAATTAGACAGAAAATTAGATAATTTTTTAATAAATCATTAACAAATTAGCTTATTTTCAAAAATAATGTAAGTACTTATGTTTAAAAAATTACATGAGTTTGCACTATCTAGTTGTTCATATGTATCATAATTTACAGATTTAATTATAGAAGTATATATTGTATATTGTTTGGAAATTTCGTAGAAAAAATTGTGGATAAGAATACGTCACAACAATACTTCCTTTTTAATAGGAACAAAGCGAGTTTAAACAGCAACATGTTTCCACAAATATTTCACAGACGGACAAATTTTAATCATAATTTTGAAATTATGTTGGAAATGATATTACTAAATTTATTACACAACAATATTTTATATAAAAATAAAAATGCCATAAATAAAATCATATATTCTATATTTTATTTCTATTTTGCAATTTAATCCCAAATTAATTATATTATTTGTGAAAATTAAACTAAACAATCTTTTAATTGATTTACAGATAAAATATACTATAAAATTGTTGAAATTGAAAACCAAAGCACGCACATTGAAAGAAATATTTTTGGAATTTGTGACTATTATTATATGTTATCATAATTATAATAATTACTGTAATAACGTTAGTAATAAGAATTATATAGTTCCATTAACAAATATATATAATTAATAACTGAAAGAATTACAATTATATATAGTTATTATTAAAATTCATTGCAATTACTATATATATTTATAGTCACTATAGTTACAGTCTTTTTAGGGTTGCCAATTGTATATATTTGTTGACATAACTATACATACAATTATTATCATTATAGTAAATAGTATAATACTAAAGTACTTAAGTATAATACTTAAGTATAATACTAAACATTTTTCTTTCAGTGCATGATACGTTAATAAATTTAAAAATTGAATTAATTTGAAGAAATCTTTTACTTTTTATGTTTCTGCTTAGGGAAGAAATTACATGATCGTATATTCTACATATTTAAAGAATTTTACCGTCGTTGCAATATTATGTACCGTAGATCTTATTGCCAGTGTTATTAATTTCAAGTAAATTAATTTAAAGTCACGTTTTTCACTACAATGCAATCACGTTTTCTAGTGGATAAAATAAATTTTTAAGGGCGATAATGCAGTAATGAGAGAGATGCTGCAGACGCACATGTCCAAAACAATGCAATTCTTTGAGAATTTAAGACAAGAAATTTCTCGAAAGCCTTCGCACATTATATAATTGGTCGAAAATACTTCGAGAATTTTCAACAGTTTGTTTTATCGAAAATTTACATCAAGATGAAAGTAATTATTCATTGAAAATAAATTCTCGATTTTTATTCGAAATATTTAGTATTGAATATGACTGAACAGAAGTATTCAAGCAATGACGCGTAATAAAAATCTTCGAAGCAGTGACGCGTAATAAAAATGCAGAGAGATTTTGTCCTCTCGACATGTCTTCCCTGAAACACTTTGATCGGATTCAATAGCGTCGTGAACTGCAAATGCGTCGTGAAATGAATTTTTTAAATATTGATATATTATTACCTTTTCTTTATAACATTATTTTTAAAAAATTACTTTTTTAAAAAATAACTTATCTAAATATAATAGCATAATATAATAATCTTTGACAATAAAATAATGTATTGTGTTAAATAACATGATATTATTATTGAGTATTTACTTGTTCAAAATATTTATATACTTTTACATTTAACTTTGCTAATTTCATGCATAGCAATTTTTAGTATGTACTAATTTAGTGTAGTGCAAATGAATGAATTCGTTATAGATGTTTCATTGTCGTACATCGTCTTTAAGAAACTAAGCAGAGCAAGAAGGTAAAAATTATGACCTTCAGCACACTTCAAATTTCTGAAATAACGAAAGGCATTTGTATCTATATATACATATAATAAATTAAAATACTTTTATTCGTCATTTATGAAAAATAATCGATGGTTTCACGAATAGAAATATTTTATTTTTGAAAAATTATTAATAATTGTAAAATTACAGTAACAGAAACTGCAAGAAAATCTATCTTTATGCAATAGATTGTATATATTAAATGTTTTTACTTTTAACAACAATTAATGTTTAAACGGAACTTTACGTCGCACAAATTATGTATTAATAGTTAAGAGAGAAAGAAAGACAGAATTTGCACAAATTAAACATTTCATAATTAATCATTAGTACACATAATTTTTTGGTTCTTTATTATACAATGGATTAACTGGGTAATTTATTTTACAATATAAAAATTATTAAATTTTTACATATACTTTAACATATTTTGAAAATATTCGTAAGGTTATGTATTAAAAAAAAATTACAAATATTATAATTAATTATTTCCTGCTCCTGGTATTTCCAAGAAAAGAAACCAATTAATCGTGCATACTAAAAGTTACTCGAAAAAAATGTTTTTAAATTAAATTCGTTTTATATTAAAATTAATTAATACAGAAAGTGTTACAAGTATAAATATAATTTATTATTTATTTTAAAAAATAAGTAATTTATCTGAAAATAAATTATCTGAAATTAAGATATGCCATTATTAAACATTTCCCTTAACGGTTAATTTAAAGATCGAGAAATTTAAGGCGCACAATTTTTTATTTATTAGATATCTCATAACGTCTATTATTAACATTTTTATCATTATTTTTTCTTTTAAAAAGACAGAATAATAAAAGGTGGAAAGAAACCATTATATGTATACTTGTATAAATACTTGTATTTAATTAGTATTTTTTCGATTTTAAGATCCAATTGCCTTGAAAATTTTTACGGTAATATATAAATCTATATAAATCTATATAAAAATATATGAAAGAGACTCTTTTAAATTTTATGGCACAAGGTAAAATCTTAGATGAATAGCGTTCGTAACGGATGCACTCAGAAGTGTTTAGTCATTGGCAAAGGATTCTCAAATAGCACCATTATTCGTTTCTTGTACTATATTATATATATGCAACATATGTTGAATAGTGTGGAAAGCGCAGCCCCCTTGATGGATGGACCACCCTTCAATTTTCCAAGCTTTAGAGAAATCTTTAAGATAAAAGTGGACTACATGATGTCGTCTTCTTCCTGTTTCCTTTAATCATGGAATATCCATTGAATGCATCATTCTTTCCATCCACATTACAGCACGTTCTTCAATATGAAAATTTAATTTCTTGAGTAAAAACTTGATTTTTAATTCAACGTGTAAGAGAATTTCGTTATATTTAACTCATCAGAAAGATTATCAGATAAAATATGATCAGATTCTATTATGTATAGAAGATGAGACATCATACTTTCAGCGTAAAATCAAAGTAAATCGTATGTCGTAATATTTTTATCGCATATGAATCTGTTAAAAATACGTTTTATCATGAGTGATAAAATTCTTTTTTGCATTATTAATTATTTTTTTTCAAAGAGAAACGTCTCTATAAAGATATGTTCTTATTGAAGAAATAGGGAAACATGTTCTAAAGTATTAGAAATATGTTCTGTAATTGAGTTTATAAATTCAAAAAATTGACCGATAATTTTTGATATCTTGTAACAGCAAATAACATCAGCTTATTTTTTTGATAATTTATACATTATTGCATATTTAAACGCACGATTGTTTAATATTATTATAATCTAGTAAAAGTAGTAAGAGAAATAACGGCCTAATAAAAATGTAGATCAAATGAAGATGCAACTGACATATTTCTAGCGATGTCATTTTCATATCCTCTTGAATCTTGTATATTTTTCCAGAATACGTAGAGAAGAAATGCGGCTACAATGGACGGTGGGAGGCACAGAACGGCACAAGCATGAACGAGGAATCGTTCATTGGCTGGGCGAATTACACTACCTGCTTAACGCCAGAAATGCTGAAGCTTCATTACAGAGTCTACAATAATAATGTCGAGGGCGAGGTAAATTTCATGTTTTGAATGTTTTGATATCTGTCAAAAATGACGATGATGTGCATTTGAAGAATTGCAATGTACAAATCTAAATAGTCTAAATCAAGTTAAAAATAGTTATATATATATAATTATATGTATAAATTATTATATGTATAAATTACATTTATAAAAATTATATGTTATATCTCTAAAAAGTTAGTTTTTTCCAATTAAATTACAAATTAAACGTAAGAAACTTCGAAAACATGACATGCGCAGAAATTTGAAAAAGCAACAAGTTTTTTTTCAATTTCGAATATTAAAAGATTAAAAAATAATAATTAAAATAATAATAAGTAATAATTTTTAAATAGGAGAACATGACAGTTAATTATTCTTAATTGATTTTGATATATAGGACAAATAAAAATTCATGCTTTAATCATAATTGATTAATTCAAATTTTAAAATTGTTAACAATTTATTTTATTTATTAAAATGTAAATAAAATTGAATATTTTATAAAAATAATTTTTTTCCTTAAACACAAAAAAACTTTTATTTATTTAATTGTAAACATGATCTTCTTAATTATTATTTAATATAATTTTTAAGAATTAACTAAGATTATAATTAAATTTATTTTTTATATTTGAAAGCTTTATAGTGTGACTGACGTTTCATTTAATATTTTAACGTGACAAATCAAAAGGTAAAACAAATCAAACATTTACATACAAAAACATTACGTACAAAACTGAAGTAGTAAAACACTCCTAACGCATCTATTATTTTCTTCATTTTAGATATTTCTATATTCCACTTTTGTTTTAAAGCCGTTTAATAGTTATTCTACTTTTTGTTTTCTATTTCTTGCTTTTTGCTATTTTTTACATCTTGTCTTTTTGCTTCTTATTCGGTTTTATGTTGCTCGAGATAAAAGTTAACGAACTTTGGAAGAAACAAGAAACACGTAGCAACAAATGCAATTGTCGATAAAACGGTTGCAAAGGGGAAAAAGCAAGAGACAGGAAACAAAGAGTACACGTTGTAAAATAGACTTTATAGTATAACTGATGTTTTATTTAACGTTTTAACGTAATAGATCAAAAATTGAAATAAATCAAATTTATATGAAGTTGGTGCCACAAAATTTTAAATAAATATTACTGTACAAAATTGAGGCAGCAAAACATTTTTAACATGTTTATTGTTTTTTTTTATCTTACAATAGATATTCCTATGTTTTGTTTCTGCGTATTGTTCGGACATATTATAATCTTTGTGGATGCTACGATGATAAAAATTGCGGCTACACATCTCGTTAATTTGCTTTTTAATCTCTCGCTTCTCTCCCCGATCTCTTACTTACCCAATTTTTTTCTTTTTATTTGAAATACGTGTTTTTATGCAACTATTTTGTTATTGTTCTTTCTAAATGAATATTTTCGCGGATCATGTTATTTATATCTTAGAGTATCTATCTTCACGTATATGCTCTATATTTTATTTACAATATTTTGATTTTATACCTTTGTGTATTTATTCTAACTGTCGATCATTTATTCGCATCTGGGATTGATATTATTGATTTTTTCGTCTTTTGAAATAACTTTCATAAATACTGGGAAAAAATTGTGATAAACTTTATTTTTCTTTATATAAACGTACGCTATAGACATTATAAATATTGATAATTAAATATTATCAAATATTTCAAAATTTCATTATAAATAGATTTATAGATGTTTGAAAAATGATATGAATTAGTTATTAATTAATAAAATTAAAAATATTGACCGATTAATTAAAGGAAATTTGACAAATAAAAAAATATATTTATTTGCTATGTAAAATAATTGACAAATTATTCTTCCTGTATTGTTAAGAATTATAGTTAAAAAAAATTAGAAAAGTTTTTTTTATATCTATTTGTATAAATATGTAATGTAAGTCGCACGTTTTACAAAAAAATTTTTGTGAGTTTTCCCTGTGAAGAAATACATCGCAAATATGTTTTCATTACATCGAAGTATAAAGTTTCATTACAATCGACTGCTTTGTTCTCTTTTTCCAGATGAAAATGGAAATAGCTGAGAAGACGCGCACCCTTGAATTTGTCGGTCTCAGTATATCTCTGGTGGCTTTACTTGCTTCTCTGGTGATTTTCTGTCGATTTAGGTGAGTAAAAAATTTCAAAAAGTGATTTCGCGTATTTTATTTGTGTGAAGAAACTTGGTTCAAGTGAAACAGTTGTTAAACAGTTCCTTTAAAGTTTGCAATTAAAAAGTAACTTGATTTTCAATTCGATTTTCAACATTACATAATCCTATTAGAGAATTTGCGACAAAGTTTTGCGACAAATTCGATATTATACAATCTTTCATATTTAAAATAAATATAAAACTTAGCTAATGAAATGACCGTCAAATAATAGATCAATAAATTTTTTATTTAAATATAAAATGAATTATATTAATTATTATATCATAAAAATGGCTGTTAAATTAAAAGACTGTATTACATAAATATTGTAAAAACTTATATTTTTATATTATTATTATTGTAACAATTAAAGAATTACAGTTTTGCAATATTTGTGAAATATTGCAAGCATATTATTGACATTTTGCAGGCATATTGTTAATTTACATTTCTGTAGTACCTCTGCAATGTTACATTGCAATCTGTAATATTGCAACATTGCAGCAATATTATTTCAATCTTCTGTGCTGTATGGGACCATACAGTTACATATTTGTGTATTATATACCTAATATTTAATTAATAATTACTTTTAGAAGTCATTGATTTAATAAAAAATAATTGCGCAAAATTACGTCCGGCGTATAGCCATCCTTGTAGAACCGCTGTCACTTTGCATAAATTTACATCTGAAGTAGTTAAACGGCTAAAATTAATGCTAAACGGTCTTTGCGTCTAATTTTCTAGATCGTTGCGAAACACGAGGACCAGAATTCACAAGAATCTCTTTGTCGCCATGGTCGTACAGGTGCTGATCAGATTAATGTTGTACATAGACATCGCGATTTATCGTAGGAAGCCGCACGGCATACAACGAGGAATAGGAAATACTGTAAGACACAATGGGATTCTTTTACTTTTATAACTGGAGCACAAGGAGAGAGATTATTTCCTTATTCTTTTTCACAGAGATTTAATGTTATTATTTATTTTTGCGATTCTATTTTTTTTTTATTTTTATCCCCGTATTATTCCTTAATATAATTACGAGATGAGAGCAATTTTAGTAAAATCCACATTTCAATGCAAATAAAACGATTCTCCGCGAAGCTCAAAAACGAGTTAGAAATGCTAAATTTTATAGAAATTTGGATTATATAAATCTCTTATTATAAATTCAAATGTCAAGTGTTCAAACGTCACTTTTTTCACTTATAGAGAAAACCTTTGAACCTTTGCATTATTTACATTTACATGTAAATCCATAAAATGTGATGCACTTTTTACCTCTTTTACAGCCGGTATTGTGTGAGGCCAGTTACGTACTACTGGAATACGTCAAGACTGCGATGTTTATGTGGATGTTCATAGAGGGTCTGTTTCTGCACAACATGGTGACTGGTATGTATTCGGGAATGTGACATGTTTTACATACGTATCGCATGAAAGCCACGTTAATGTCACTAGAATCGTAGAAAGCGAGTATTTCTAGAATTTTTGTGTAATCGTAATTATAAAGTAGTAAACAACTCGTTAATCCTGGCATAACAATAAATCGGGTAAGAAATTTTGACTGACGAGTTATTTACATAAATGTGAAAATATTTGAAATGTGTATTTTATTTTGTTCACTATAAGTACACTACACAATAATCACAATAAATATTGCCACACGCGTCTAATACATATTTTAAATTAATTCTTATCCTACACAAAAGACTATTTAATATAATCTGACTTTTTTCTATCATTGACAAATTAATTAGCTTTAAAAAAATATTTTAATTCAAATTTCAATTTAATGATTGTCACGTAATTTCGCATTTCGATTGTAATTTTACAGTGACGGTTTTTCAAGAGACGTCTTATTATCGCATGTATCGATTCGTTGGATGGGGATGTCCAGTGCTGATGACCTCGGCTTGGGTCATTGTTATGGCATTTTATTATCATCCGAAATCAAAGTAAGTTGCGGATTATTTGCTTAAATACTAAGACGTTTTTATAACTTTTATTTATTTGAACATTAACGTTTGACACAATATGGACATACAATTGCAAAATATTAATAATATATTACAATCATTAAAACATAAGCACAAAGTTTACATTCAGTGATTTATTGAAGAAGACCCAAAGCAAAAGTCGTTTGTATTTATAAATATATTAAATATTATGAATTTTGAAATATTAGATTTCCTAGATGTTGGTCGGGGTACAATTTATCGTCTTACTTTTGGATCCTCGAAGGACCTAGATTCGCAGTGATATTGGTGAGCAAACCAGAATGAATTTTTAATAATCGGTAAAAGAAAAAAAAACCAATCACATTCGTTTAAATTTTTTAAAATTTAAAGTGTGATTCTATAATATGTGTGATAATTATGTAGATATATAAAAACGTTCGTAGAGTTATGAATTCATAGATAATTGCAACTATTTGTGTATTAACAATTTTTTTATTGTTTAATATAATTATAACATATATTCATTCCTTGAAAGAAACATGCTATCAGGTGATTATTTATCCATAGAAAAATAAAGTTTACATTATATCTAATAATCAATTAAAAATTTTTAATAAGTTTTAGCTTATTTCTTCTCATTATTTTCTTTCAGCTCAACTTTTTATTCTTGCTGAATATTATAAGAGTGCTCGTGATTAAGTTACGGCAAAGTCATACAAGCGAAATTGAACAAGTTCTGTAAGTACACAAATAAACAAATTAGATTTCTCCAAAGAAGCAAATAGGTTCAGAATTTTAGTCTCATTTTCAAACTTAGAAATTTCTAATTTCTCACAAAAAAAACTTAAAAAATTAATCGATTACTTTAAACCAACAAAATATTCTCTATTTTATTTACTTTAGAAATATAAAAATTTACATCATAAAAAATTTTAAAATTTTTCTGCGTGATATTTTGCATGTTTTTGATTCTTTTTCGCTTATTTATTCAATTTTAATTGAATTTTTCATGTTTGGTCTTTGTGCACAAAAATCTATGTATACAACTGTTAACCAGTTTATCAGTTTCGTTAAAAAAAAACATAATTGACAGCTGACAAGTGTGCGAAAGTAATTCTAATTTAAACACTGACGATTGCTGTCGACCAATGTCATGCAAATGTTGACAATAATCTAATGTCATAATCTGACGTAAAACAATGTCAGTTTTGCTTTACGTATCTTTTATAATATCCGTCTATTTGATCTATTATATCCACATGTGCACTTTCAGTCATTTTTTTTTATGCTGCCTTAGAATTGTATAATTGTTTTGAATGATATATTTTTAAAGATCTATGTTTTATTTCAATCAGTCTGAAATAGCATTCATTTGAAATCGAATTCGATTTTATTTAAATCGAAAACTTAATTAATTTCTTAATTCGAACGAAATACTTGAGTGTTCTAAGTGTTAATTTTTAACAATTTATATTTGTAAAATATCTTGGAATATTTGGGAAATTATTATACAAAATTAAAATATTAATTTAAAAAGTTAATAAATTATTGAATAAATAAATAATTTATATAACATTATTTATTTATTCAATAATTTATTAAAACAATATTTTTTATTAATAAAATAATAAAGGTTATATTACAAAGTTTAAATAATGATTTTAATATATCTCTCAATAGCTCAATAAATATATTTCTGATGATTACATTATAAATGACTTTGCGAAAAACGTCGATAGCAAGCACAAGTATTCGTGTAAAACATGCAGTTATAAAAATATCAAAATAATTTTTTATTGTACTTAGGAAAGCCGTGAGGGCAGCCGTGGTACTTTTACCGTTATTAGGTATTACTAACGTGCTCTTCATGATCGAAGCACCGTTGGATAACGTAAGCAAGTTCGCTGTGTGGTCCTACTCCACTCATTTTCTGCAATCGTTTCAGGGCCTTTTCATCGCAATGCTTTATTGTTTTCTTAATGGCGAAGTGAGTAAATTCCATTTAGAAACATTATCTCAGTCATAATTGAAGTTAATATTATTTTATGATTAATCTTATTAATTGTAGAATTTACTAGTCATATTTGAGTAACTGTTACAAGATTATTTTCCACTTATTTTTATAGATAATATTATTATATCAGTTAATAATTTGTTATGAACTTATAATTTTATAGATATTATCTTTTCTAAAATTTATTTAATATAAATTTAATAATTAAATAGGGGTCATTTTCTTTAAAACTTTGTTAATTTATTTATCAATTTAATTTTCTAAAAGAATAGAATATATAACAACAACTGAAAGTTATGCTCTTATTTATTCACTAAGTTTTTATAATAAAATAAAAAAAATTAATTGAAAAAATCTAGATTTAATTAAAAATTAAAAATAATATGATAAGCAGAGAACACAAACGATCCAAGGCATTCTGCCCGTATTATTTTTGTTATCTTAGCATTATAAAGAAAAATAAAAGTATTTTTTATGAAAAAATCTCCTCTCTCTCTGTATAATAACATAAATTAGTAATTTTTTAATTAAAGCATTAATTTATGTTCTTATAAAGAAAGAGAAAAAGAGAAGAGATATAAGAATTTTATATATTTCATTTGCTTAGGTAAGACTCGCTTTGGATAAAACCATTGCCGTTTATCTTTCTCTAAGAGGAGGCGACTTGCAGACTAGAAGACAGTCGACCCTTAGCGGCGGTCAACCTCAGCGAATAACTTCGGGTAAGTACAAAAATTCATTTTTAAAACGAATATTTGTTGAAAGTGTACATTTTATACTAAAACAAGCGACAAAAACATTCAAATAGCAGACAATTTTTTCTCTAATGAGAATCATGTTGAACTTTTTAAAAATTGACTTCGCATTATTATCTGTCGAAGACATTTCCATTAGAACATTCCATCAAATAAAAATCCGCAGAAAAAAGAAGTACAGATTCTGCTTCGGGGTAATCGAGAAAAATAGCATAAATAATCTAATTTAGTTTTTCAATTTTTTTCAATTCGTGGCACATTGTACATATAATGAGCCAAACTTATTGAGGTAATCATTAGTTCACATGCATTAGCATTCAATATAGATTTATTATCAGATATCTTTAACATGACACTTAAAAATAAAAAATGAAGTTTTAAAGTTTTATCGTTAATATTTTATTATTTTAAAAATAATTTTATTGCAATGATGATTGCAAAGCTCGATTTGATTAAAATAAAAGTAAATATAATATAATTTAGGTAATTTTTACATTTTTATTTTTACATTTTTTATTTCATTCGCTTGTTTACTTGTTTATTTCTTAATTTTTTGTGTGTTTTTCTTTTTATTTCTCTAAAATTTTCGCTACACTTGGAGCATATCGGTGTACCGTAGAATATTGATTAAAAAACTCTGGTCTGACACTTGTTGAATATTTGTAATTAATATTTGTAAGTTATTTACATTTGCAATGCGATCTAAAATGCTGAAGTATAACTCGACAAATTAAAATTCTTTATAATTTAAAAAAATATATGATAACTTTTAAAAGGCAAGCAACTATTGTTTTATTCGATGCGTATTTATAAACGCTTATTCCCTCTATCAAAATATTTTTTATTTATAGAATAATTTTTAGTAAATTTCATATTATTGTGCGATATTATTACATTTAGTATTATGTAAAGACAAGTGCAGTATATTATTTGTTATAATTCCTATTAATGTATTGGATGGCTGCAGTTTAACAGTTCTGTGGAAATCCATAATGTCGGATTACGGAATATAAGCCGATAACGTATTCTTATTAAAAAAACCTTCTTTTAATATCACCGATCAACCAATGCTATTCATTACTAAGAGTGCATGCTCCTCCTTCGAAGATGGAGATTTCAAACTTTAAAACATTCTCCGACCATTTTTTGCAAAGATACGTAACTTTGAATTTACACGATCCTTTTCAGCACTAATTTAAGTGATGTTTTAGTTTTGTTAATGTATAATAAATTCAGTTATTATGAAAAGCATTGTTCATTACGATAAATTATTTTTTTGAAACCTTTGAAAATAATTGACAGTTTTTCATTTTCAATAATCATAATATAGTCAAACGTTGACATTAATCGTTAATTAAATTTTTTATTAAAAGATTGATATTTTATTTATAGAATTAGTATAATTTAAAAAAAAAATACAATAGGCAACATGTCACGTAAACATAAAAAGATTAAGACCCAAGTAATATGTACATATTTTTATATTCTTATTCAAGAATCATCCAGTTCTAATCTAAGTAATTCTTGTAATATCGTTAAATAAATAATGATATCACAAAATTACATTCTGCAATGTAAAAAAAATTTTTATTTAAAATCTTTATACTGCTTGAACTCAAAATATCTTTATACAATAATTATTAATTATATATATATATTTTAAGCTTTAGCAGCGTCAATTTTAAAAAAAGTATTTTGCTTACTTATTACAAAACAATTTGATTCATTATTTAAAAGCGTTAATAATAACAATAGAAGTTCTTAGTATTCCCGTTTGAAAATAGGTATTTCTTTCCCGTAATACTGTCACATCTATCGGATCACTGGAGTAGATAATCGTATTCGAGCGACGTTATTACACTAGCATAGTAAATTGAATTCTTTCTTGAACATCAACATAAAGAATTTACGTCCAACTTTTAGAGTCCTCCAACTTTTACGTTATGAAATCTCTCTTCCTTCTTCCCCTCTTTAGGTTTTTGACCTTAAGAGGCAAATCACGGTACCATACTATGATACTGTGATCGCCTCTGTAAGTCAGAAATCTAATCAGAGGAAGAAGGGAAACAGATTTTATAACATAAAACGCATGCTCGAGTTGTGGAAGGCTGTGCCTTACATATTAATGATAAAATCTTCCCCGTAAATTGCGTATTAATCTTCAAAACATTAAATTATCTCGTTCTTACGTAAAATACGAAGGACAGAAAGATATTTATCATTTGTTATGTTTGTTCCTTAAAAACTTATATTTAAAAAAAATTTTTTTTCTTAAATTTTGTAGAAAATTTGATTTGTGCAAAATTTAGCTTTGTTGTATTAGGTGTTGGAATTAATTCGTAGCGTTTTACAAGTGATGGGAAGTACTTTCATTAATGTATTTTTTAATGCTCATGTGAAATAAATAACATTCTTTCATTACAAACGCTACGAATTAATTCCAACACCTAATAGAATTTGAATAAAAGCGCTATTCCCAATACGTTTGTTGTCTTTGTGTCACAGTGATCGAGATGGAAGAGGAAGAAACGAGACCTATTGGGTTGATGAGACTGTGCTGTCGGGGTAAAAATACTCCGCCACCAGATCGACCTGTCGAGTAAGTAGTAATTGAGAAAGGCCTCAAAAGTTAGCGCCGATCCGATTTATCTATTCTCCAATCTTATATAGTTCCACTTTGTGTTACAGAATACAAGAACAAAGAGATGAAAAAATTGAATGCGTACTTTCTCGAGGTATTTAGGAGCTACATTCCGATATATTAATATTGTACAAAGAATAATGTTGTATAGAGAATAATTACTTTTATTTCTTAGTACTTTAATTTCGCTCCTGTTTACTTCCGTAAGGAAGACAATAAGTTCCCCAGCATACTTTACATTGAACGTTTCCGATGTGCAAGCAATTATGTAGCAATATTTGCTAATGTAGTATCAAGCTTTAATGCTGTTTATATTTTTTACCTGTCAAGTAAACAAATATGAAACAAATTTCTCTTTTGTATCTCACTTTACAGAGCGAGAAAATTCCAACGCAGGAAAAGGTGAAAGGAAATGACAATGTATTAGAATTCTCAAGATTACATCCAGCTTGTAAATACTATTGATGTAATAGTTTTTGTTCTGTCGCTTTTTATCTTTCGTTATTCCTAATCTTAATGTCTCCCATGAATAGAACTTATCTAAAGTCAAATAGAGATTACTTCATCTTTTGTTTTATAATTAAAGCTATGTTATCAAGTTAAAGTTAAATTTGTTTTTAATCAAATTGTAATAATCGTATTTGAAAAAATTTAGGAATTTATTTATTGAATTAAAAAGAAATGTTAGAAAGAAATGTTTTAAATAGAACATTTATTCTTTAAATTTCAAAAATTAATTAAAGGCGGCTCTATGATTTGAAATATGATTTAGTTTGAAATTATCTTGTACATGTGATTTGCAAAATGTAATTTTCTTAAGCTGATTTCTATAAAAAACAATATTTCTTCACGTTTCAGGACAACAGTTTAATCGTAGTAAACGCGCAAATCTCTCAACGTCTGGAAGTCAATCTCACAGTAAAATAATTCCTTGGATCGTAGAATTATCAATGCTACATTCTGATTTTCGGTCAAAAGAAACGGATTTTTCTTTGACGTAGATTGACAGTGTGCATCACGTCACAGTAACTGAGGCGGAATTTTCTCATAAGAATCTACGTTAAGCTTGAAGTCTTGAAGTCTCGTAATGTAATGGAATCCATGACGTCTTCTCTTGTAATTATTTTGTAAATCAGTGATGCCCAAATTTTCTTAAATAGATTATAAACATTTCAAAAATTTCTTTTCTGTTGTATTTAAAAATAGAGCAATGTTTATTTAGAATAACTAAATGAAACATTAATATTTATTACATTACCTCATTTTAACTTACATAATTTTTAAGATATTATAGATTATTTTAATAATTTTTTTAAGCTAAAATTATACTGCCACATATTCTTATTTAATTTTGATTATATTTGGAATTACCATTGTATTGTAAAAAAACAGTTGATATGAATCATTTGAACAACACTGATATAATCTATATTCAGTAATTATCAAACATTGAGAAATGCGATTTTAAAATTCATTTTGTAAATTACTCTAAGGTAATTTAATCATTTAGCAAAATAATTAAAAAATTGAAAGTTATTTTAATAATAAAATTAATACTTGCAAAAATATTTTATTTACTATATACTAAGTTATAACTACAATTTTATTTTAATATAAAATTGATTTATAAGACTTAATTGATATATTTAATACTAATATGAAAAATGAAAAATATTTTATATGATAGCTTCTGAGGAAACTTTAAAAGAGAAACTGTGAATTTGATGTAGAATTTATTTTTGAAAAAATAGAGTTAATGTAGTTTAGTTTTAATAAAATATCGTATTTTTGTAATAAATCAAGTCACTGTAATTGGTATAATGCGTAATTCATTTTTTTAATCATGGAAAATTCGGAGCGAGAGAATAGTCGAGGATCACAGAAAACGGAAATCCGACTTACTAAAAGATTCTGTCTACGTCAAAGGAAGCTATCAAATGTGATTTGACCTCAGCTAAAACTGCCTGCTCGTTATCTGGCAGAAACCTGCTCTTTAACACTTATAATTAGTGGCACGGATCAAACGTTTGCAACTAAACTGTGCAGCTAAACTATGAAGTTTAAAGGTTACGCTATCAAGAAACTTTGTAAAATACTTTAGTTAATTTTGATTAATATCGCTGAGATGGAAAATTAAGAATTTTAACACGTGTTATCTAGTATCCGGATATTGTTTTTTTGTGTGTTAGATTATTGCAATTTTTGGATAAATTTGATGTCTTATCGAATATATCTTATTCGAATGATATAATTTTGTTAAAAAATTAATTTAGAGCCTACCTTCAAACTTCTAGAAAATTTCTAAGAAAATTATAACTTTGCGATGCAAAGTTATAATTATAACTTGCAGAAATTATAACTTATCTAATGAAACATTCTCCAAACATATAACGATGTATAAATGGAATATTTAACAGTTATTTGTACTTTTAATTGTAGTCCAGGAATTGCCGATTCTATCTTCGAATTCAATGAAGACGTTTCAATGCGCCGTTTAAAATATTTATTCTTTTTCGTGTCGCGAAGATTCCCAGGCAACGCAATTCCAAGATTTAAAATCGGAACATATATAAGACGTCTTTTAGACAGTTCTTGAAAAAAAAGATATTTATAAGACGTCTTTTAGATATCTTTATCTCATATCCTGATTTTGAATTTTATATTGTCTAGAATTTTTTTTATAAACAAATGAATAAGCAACTGATATACTGACTTTCAATTATAAAATGAAAATGGATTGTTGGCAGTTATTAATTGTAAATTTAATTAGATGATATTCTCAACTAAATTAATTTGCAGGATGTTCATATGTACTTATTATTATGTAATAAATTAAATTTGAATTGTAAATGAAGTTTCACATTACAAACAGATTACTCACACATTCTTCTAATATTAATATCATGTTAGTGTTATGACTTAATTATTTATTTTCATTAAATTGGTCGATAAATTCATGACCACTATTTCTCTTCGTAAGCTAGAAAAAAAGAAAATATTTATACATGAAAATGTAGGTATAATATCACTTCTTGTAACTAACTTTATCAATTAAACGTAACAAATGTTTCCAATTTATTAATTTCAACTAAATTAAATTAAATATTACTTTTATCTTTTATAATATGAATTGTTTTATAATATTTAAATTTAATAAATTTTAATAAAAAGAGAATACGTCAGAAATATATAATTTAATTTAAAAAATATATGAAGAATACAAATAAAAGTAACTTTGAAACATTTTGGTCATTAATAAGTATATAGCATTCACAAAGTGATGAAATACAAGATTATTTCTAAACAAGTTTTATTGTGTCACATCACAATGTACATAGAAAAATGCTCTAAAGTACAAAATTTTCTACAAAGGAACATCAATTTCTGTCCTTAAAATGTAATATAAAATTTTATTTTTAATTTTGTTGTAAAATGAGAGATTAAGTTGTTATTCATTACGGGATACATTGCGTTGTTGTGAGTAGTTATATTTCTTCAAGTCCTCAGACGCCTCCATCAAATCAAGCTTATTTCATATGTTGATCATATCTCTAACACATCTAAATATTTCCCGGTCTTCAGTTTTGTAAACTTTTTGCAATTTTTCATCCCCAAAGACATTGAATGTACATACATATGTTTCAACAACAAGATAAAAATGGACTCTCGATATATAACAACAAATTAATGTTTAAATAATGGGCAATGGAAAAATAATAATTGCGCGATAATTCGTGCGCTATTATTTAACAATTGTATTTCTGGATTCCTTACATCAAATTAAAACAAAATTGGACGTTTCGATTCCATTCCATCTTCAGCGATGTACACATAGTAAAATGATCCATTAATCAGTACAACATCAGTACAAAACAACAATAATAGGTTCAGTCTCAGTGTGCAATAGATAGAGCCTCTCCAATTTAAACTATTTGAAGAGTGTTAGTTTATTCTTAAAGTAAATGAACGCTAAAGAACAAAGTAATAAATAAATGAAGACAATTATAGAAAAAAACAAATTTCAAATTCACTCGTGTAACTACAATTGTAAGTCAGTATGATATAAAAAAGCTAGCACATGTTTCACGTTAAATATAATATTACATTAATATCGTAATATTATATTATTTTACCATAACATATTGTATAAATATTAATTAGTAATTACCTCCATTAATATCACAAATTAAATAATTGTATCAAGTTATATGTTATCTCTGATATTTTCTTCTTGCACGATTTAAAAGATATCTTAAGATCGATGATTCAAAACAGAGAATCTTTTTCTGATCTCCGCATCTAAAATCTAAGTAAATCTTCTAGATAGTTTACGGCCGAGTCACACGTGAGAAGTCGTAAAAGAGATCTATGAAAGGACGGATTTTTGTAACCCTTCATTATCGTATTATCATTGTTCATTCAATTAGCAAGTAATTATTGATAATTCTAATCCTGTTTAAAGGATTTTATTGAATTATTTCTTCGCGAATTAACGTAACGCTTGTCTACAATTGTGATGACTATAATAACTGGTGCCTACTTAAATGATATATTCTACGTCGTAAAGACTATCACAGATACGTTCTAAAAGCCTACAATTTTTATTTGCGCGTTAAGTCGATTAACGTTCGTAAAGAAACTCCGTTAAAGTTTGCTAGTGTGTACCCTGCACAAATTGATTAATTAACTGTAATTGGTCTAATCTCTCATTAATCTCTTATTAACGATGGAAAAATCATATTGTCTAATCTCTCAGTATAAATGTTGAAGAAATTTTCCTCTTTAATTTTTCCCTTTCTTTAATCTTTTAAATTATGTTTGTTCGAAAAGAAAAGTTTTGCTGAAGTATTTGAAAATTTAGTTAGATTCTGATGAAAAGATTCTCATAATATTAAAAGTCTCACAATATTAAAAAATGTTTATATTCAAATTTATGCTTTCCCAGCGAGAAATGATTCATTGAATTAATGTCAATCGATGTCGAATCAACATTCAATTTATGGTTATGTTTTGTTGAGTTTTGATAAAATATAAACTTTTTTAATTCTTCTTGAAAATTATAAAATGAAAAATCTTAGAAATTGTAGATATTTCAAAATTTTCACATAAATATTTACATAAAGAATTCTAAAAAAGATTGCAGACTTTTTCAGCACTTCTCTTATTTCACTATATATAAAAAATTTTTTTAATTATATAAAATTTATAAAAAATTCTAAAACTTATTTAAAAAATTATATAAGAAATTTTCACCAAGATACAGATCTAAAAATAATTATGTTGGATCATGTGAATAATTATTTTGAACTATCAAATTAATTGATAGACTTTAAAAACTTTCAGCAGCATTATCATCATGCTTGAACATCCTATTAAATATTTTGATAACCTCATATTATTTCATATCTGTATCTATTTTACTTTTTATACAATTCATTTTATATACTTCAGCAAAACCCCTTCTTTTAATTTTTGTCTTCAGAAATTATCGGAACTCATCATGAAAACTTTTCTCAGTGTCTAC